ATCTTCAAAAACGGCTGGGTGCCATAGACTCAAGAAAAAGGGTACCCCTATTCTAACCTCTCTACTGGAGGACCTAGACGGGTTCCGTTAGGAAAGGGAAAGGAAAAGCGAGGCCCCAAGAGTGGCAGGCCTTGTGCTCGCAGCCGGTGGTGGGGATGCTCAGTGCTGAGGAGGCGGCGTCTTGCACAGGCCGGATGCGTTGTGGAAGTTTGGAGTGGGTCAAGTGGGCCGTTCCCACTTTAAGTTCCAAGAATATCCCCTTGGCCGAGAAGCCGGCCCTGCTTGGAAAACCGACTTTTTGTAGTTCGGCCAACAACTTAATTGGGCTACAATTGGCCACTTTGTTCCACAAAGAGACCCCAAACAAAACAAATGGCGGGTTGTTCCACCGGCCCGCTTCGGTACGGCGGTTGATCGGCGGGCTTTCAGGCGGACGCCCGCCTCGTGTGGTTCGGAGCCCTGTGTCCGTTCTTTTCGTGTGGTTTCCCCATGATGGGAATCCCATTGGGTAGGAATCCCATTCGGGGGGGTGGGAAGTTGAGAGCCCGGAGGTTTTTGGACCCCTTCGTGAACCAATCCTTTCAGGGATTCCCTAAGAGAAACATGTTCCCTTGCCGAGGTCGCTGAACAACTGGGTAACTTAGTAAGTAAGGCCCTAAGAAGCTTGCCCAATGTTTTGCAGGCTCCAGCGGCGCGACAGACACCTTGGCAAACTTGCAGCAGAGCGTTGCGGCTGCCCGCCTGAAGTTGAGATCTCAAAGTTGTACTGTTTTCTTGAACAGGCAATATTATTTACCATATATTGCTTTAAGCTTATTTTTTTTTTGGGGGGGGGCAGGCTGATTTGGCTGCTTTGGGCTTGGGGATGTTATTATTTTCCACGCACACAGTTAAACTCTTTGAGCAGGGGGAACCAAAGAAGTAACCAAGCTAAGCATCAAGCCAAGTAAGTATGGAGAGCAATCTAGTTTGCAAAGTGCTCATGCTTAAAATGAGGCTCACCGTCGAGCACACTCCTTGTAGTTGGCCCTGCGTTTTCGCTGCTTGCGGCCATCAGCAAAGTGAAGCGACAGCCATGATTTTCAGTTTCTTTCTTGGGCTGTGAACTGCCCAAATGCAAATAAGCTCCGGGGTGGTTCAGAGAAGCTTTCAGGGAGGGTTCGCCAGGGCCTTGCAAGGGCCTTGCACGCCCACGGTGGCCAGGGCTTCCTTTGTAGTTCTCATTCTCAGTCCTCATGTCAGGTTAGCCATTGTGAGGTCCAGGTTCTCGAGGCCTCTCAAGTTCATTCAGGTGCACCAGGCAGCCAGAATCAATCAATGTAACTTTCAGACGGCAAAAGCTGACCGGCCGGTGCTTTCCTCTTTCAGACTGCTTCGCCCAAGGCGGTGGCTGATTCTAGTGGGCAGCTTCGGCTAAAAAATGGGAAGTCAGAAAGAAGGTGTTTATGTTGTTGTTTTTTGGTTTTTTGGGGCCCCCGCTGTTACCAACCACTTTTGGGAGGTTTGTCTTTGATACCAACCCATGGTATCAGCTGAGGATCCCTCCAAGGCGCTGGAGCTTTTGGGCGGCTCGTTGCTTTCGCCCGGCGCGGCCGCTCGGCCACTCGTGTTTAGATCCTTTGACAAAACAAGCACAAAGCAAAAGCAACCTGGACCTTCATTCTTTCCATAGATCTGGGTGAATTATAACGACCTCACACGACCTCACCCCAAATGGTGGTTTATGTGGGGAGTAGCCCCCCAACCACCTTATTATTTCAGGTTGGTAAAATATTATAATTCACCCAGATAGATGTGTGTCCCTTGGGTGTTTCGTGGCAGACATTCGCTAATCGGGCGTTTTCCTGAAAAAGACGGGCGCAAGTTTGGATTCGAGCATTTTTGGCTATTGCGCAAATACCCGCCAAACGAGTGCACATCCAAATCATGTAACAATTGGTATTTTGCAAGAAGCCCGTGTTCATGAAACGATCGTTTTCTGGGAAACAAGCACTCTTGGATCATTGGGCAAAAATAGTTTGCCCGAGCAGGTTGTTGTTCCTTTTTGTGACACAAATATATGTAACAATGGAATTTTCCAGGAAACAAACACTTGACCAGCTAGCTTAGGAAAGCGCCGGACTACGGTGCCAAAACAAAACCCGAGGTGGAAGTGCCTTTGGATGACGTACAGCTGAATTAAAGGGCCACAAGTCATTTTGCGGCCCCCTAGTTTTCGAGGCAGACACGGAGATGTTTGCCTTTTAGGGTTCACAGGAGTCTGAGGCATGTAAATGGGTATGAGGATCCTGCGGTGGTTGGATGAACATTGCCCATTCCAGGTCTGTCAAATGAGGAAAGAAAGGCGGGCAGCAGCATATCTTCTAGGGGGGCAAAGCAAAGGCACTTTTGGTTTGATTCCTTGGCTTCAGTTTTAACAGCTCGATAAGACCGCCTCCAAAACGACAGCCAGATCAACTGCCTCGGCTGCAGGAGTCGCAATCGTGAGGGGGCCTCCTCTCCCAGCGGCCAAGGGACAATTTGGTGGGCCAGTCACTTGGGTATGGGATGTGGTCAAAATTAAGGCACCAGGATATGGACCGGTTTTGGTCCCCGTTTTTGTATTTACCAGGGCAAGCCTTCGTGGTCTTAGCCGTTCGCATAGATTTTTCGACCAGCCACAAGCTGGGCATCCAGCTTCCAGAGACCGAAACGCGACACGCGACACGCCCAGGTGCTTGCTGCAGCTTCTACTTATTTGACCCCAGCACCCTGGAAAGAAGTTGGCCAGCCAGCCAAGTTCCATGAATTGAGACAAGCCACAAGGGGCCACCCACATGTTTTTGTTCTCTCTTTTTTTGCGTCACAAATAAAACCCATGAGTACCACAGTTGAGCCCTTGACAAGCCATCAGGACAGAGGCAAATGACAGGGTAAGACTTGTGTTTGAAGGTGTGCATGTGTGAGAGAGAGAGGGTCGCTTATAGGTTGCCAAAGGAGTTTCACACATATTGTGTGTGCCTTTTGGATAATCTTTTTATGTGTGTTTCTTTTCTTGTTGGGGGGGGAGCAACAAAGAAAGGACCCGTTGTGACTCACTTAAACCCAGGTGGCTCGTTATGTGTGAGCTCTACAGTCCCACTCCACCCCCCCTCTTTCCGCCTGCGAGGTATGCACCACATCCTGCAACCTCACAGCGTGCCGCGGCTTAAAACGTGGGTGCTGTTGTGACGGGTTGACGCCTAAATCCTCTGCAGATTCAAGCAAGCGGCGACGAGCACAACAACGACTCAACGACCATGACAACGACCAGCAGCAGCAGAAGCGGCAGCAGCAGCAGCAGTAGGAACAGCGACGTCGGATCACCGCCACCATCTCCATCAACAAAGAACGACCACACCCAAACTCCAAACTCAGACTCGCCAGTAATTATGAAATCAGTTTTCATAGTGCGGTGCGTGGTCAAGTGTTGGATGGATAGGGGATCATCTTCTTTGGAATGGTGCCAAAGGGGGTCCATGTCGTGAGGGTTCCGATTGTCACCCCAGACTCTCGATGGGGCTTGATGAGACATGTTGCCAGATCCGGTTGCTTTGGTTTTGGGGTTTTGTGGTTCTAAACCACAAAATTTAAAAACTTTGAGCAGGCATCAGCTACATGGGGATTTATGCCTATGAATCGCCGAAAGGGCCTTTCCAGTACAAGTTTTTGGCAGCCCGTTGGTCCGAGCTCGTCTCAGGAACCGCACCTTCAGCTATTCCCCGCCGCCCAGCGCGCCTTGGCTTGGGTCGTTGGGGGGGGGGTCGCCGCTCGAGTGCCAAATGGCACATCATGTTGGGTTCCCGAGAAGGACACCAACGGCGTTTTGCGATTTTCACACTTAAACAATCACCAGCTCACCTTCTGGAAGAAAGCTGCGCTCCGTGTCTCAAAACTAAATGCCCTCGCCGGCCCTCGCCTGACTGATTGCAAGAGTTGGCCAAAATGCAACCAACCAAAAATGAACACCTCCACTTGAACACACCACGTATTTTGGGCGTGTAAGACGCAGTCGGGTTTCGCTTTTTTTTGTTACCTGGAGCGGTCCTGCCGATCTTTCATATTATATTGTGGTCTTAGGCGACTCACCAAGCGTTGGAACCCTAGCAACCAAATCCCCATGTCTTTTTGGTCGGCCACACCTGCTCATGTTTTTCGTTTGCAGCCATGGGAAGCGTTGAGAATAGGAACCCGGGGTGCCCCGGTTTTGGTTGGGCTCCCATTGAACCTGGGCAGGGGGGCAAATCTGGTAAGCGGCACAATTTGTCCCTTCCTAGTGGGGTTCCGGTTCGCCAAACCCACACTGTTTTTCTTTTGTTTACCATGTTTCAGTATGATACATGTTCAAGGCTCGTGGAGACAGTTGGGTTTTCGCAGCACCTGTTGGCGCCCAATCCAGCGTGACTTCGTGTTTGACTCATGTGTGTTTTGTTTTCCCCCTGATAGCTGAAAGCTATACAGTAGGGGTTCTAACTTCTAATAAAGAAGGGACAGTTATTTGCGAGATTGCCGGCTGGGTCTAGGTGTAGGTGGTGCTAGGGCATGCAGTTTGGGTGCTGGCGCAGGTGCTGCTTTGGGCTGTGCAGGTGACAGTGCCGGCGCACTTTTGCAAGATTGGCGGTAGGATGTTAGGCATGCAGTCTGGGGTGCTGGCAAAGGTGCTGCTTTGGGATGGTATTTGGAGTGCTCTTTGAGGTGCTGGTGATGGTGCAGGTGTATGTTTGCGAGATTGACGGCCGGGTGCTTTGGGAGTGCTGTTCGAGGTGATGGCGCGGATAGTTTTGGGGGGGCTGGTGACGGGCGTGGCGTTTCTGCAAGGTTGACGGCTGGTGCAGGTGCTGTTTTGGGGGGCCTGGTGACGGCCAGGTGTGTTTTTGCCAGATTGACGGCAGGGTGCTAGGTGGCATGCAATTTGGGGATTCTTGTGCAGGTGCCACAGTGTGCCACAGTGCAATCGTTGGCACATGTTTCGCTATCTGGGGTCTATGCTGGTGTACGTTTCTTCTTCCGAGCACTTCCTGTTTGACTCGTTTGTTTTTGTCTCCCCCGAGCCTGTTTGCATTCCTAACTTGATCTCACCGCATAAACCACCAGCCGAGTTTTCGCATCCAAAGGCTCCCCCAAGACTGCCCGAACTGCCGCCGGTGCTGAGGTGCCGTGGGCCTCGGCGTGGCAGCGGCTGTCGACACATTTGCCCAGGCGGGGGGCTGGGGGTGACGCAACCGCCGCCGGTGCTTCATGGCTTCGGGCTTCCTGATGCACCTAGCTTGCTTGATGATGGTACACTGCTGAGTCCACTAAGTGACAGGTCGCTGGTTTTGATGGTTTCAGGGATATGTCAAAGTCGCCCACTGGGATAGGTTCACCTTTTGCCATTTAGGGACTTGATGGTAAGCATCTGAGTTTGGCGGGTGAAAGTAGATGGCACTATCTCCTTCCCTGTATGTAAAGAGGATGATTGAAGCAAAATGGGGAGGTTGTGCCATCTACTTGCACCGAACACCGGTGGTGATCAATCTATGAAGCAGTTGTTGTTCAATCCTGGGTCACATTGAAAGAGGGTCAACGGGTGCAAACTTGGCCCATAACTCTGGGTTACCCAAACTGAGATGCCAGGGGTGGATGAATTTGCTTCACTTGCTTTGATATATGTTTTAGGTGCCTCTTATGCGGTGCCTTTTGCATGGAAATCTGACAGCTTTTCCGCCTATGAGGCCCCTGCTTGGTTGTCTCGGGTCGCCAATTAAACACAGGCGAAGGCGACCCATGTTCAGGGTTGCTTCAAGGACTCCTGGGCCAAATCAAAAGCCACCTTTTCCTGTTGTTTCCAAGAGGGTCTACGTACATGTAGCGGGTCATTTTGAGGCGTATCCCGAAAAGGAATGCAGATGTGTCCCTTCGATGTGTTTTTACAGTTTCAAGTCTTTGGTTGCCCACCTTGTTTTCGGATTGTACCTTCAAAGAGGTCCCTGCGTGGTGGGTCGGCCTTGTCTTTCAAAAAGGCTCTGCCACTAACTACCCAAAGCTCGCTTCAAGTTCCTTTTGGCCGTTTTAATGGGTGCAACAAATCAATCCTGGGCGCGGTTCTGTCTGATTGACCCAAGGAACCACGAGGCGCCAGAGGGAATGCTTGGGGCTGGAACAGTCCGTGAATGGTCACACCCCAACCGTGAAGTCGCTTGCACGCGGGCCCAAACCGCTTGCAAACTTTGGTATTGCAAAGGGGGCATGTCTACTTCACTGTTCTTGGCATCTTTTTTTTCCTTTATTGTTTTTCTCAGTTGTTTCATTCCGTTCATTTTTGCTGGGGGTCTGCAAAAAGCACAGTTGTTCGCTACCATACCAAGAGTAGAGAGGTCTATACCTCCAGAAAGTCCTCGCTTTCCCTAGGCCCGTGGAACTGATCAAAACTGAGCTCAACTGAAACTCGGCCCAGCTGAACAGGGTTGTGGGATCAAGGTTTTTTCCCACTTCTGTGATACAAGGGAATCTCTCCCTTTATATGGGGGGTTAGTCTTTGGGAAGCCCTTTTTGTTGTATCACAGAGGTGGTCATTCCCCACAGCCCAGCACCTGAATGATATGTTTGGTGCCGGAGAGTCTTGTTGAACAATGAAAAACGAAGCTTTTGGTTTGCCAGATCATCTTATACGGTGCCAGCCGTGCTGGCTCCATTTCGCCCTTTCGGCCAGCAACAAGTTGAAGTAGTCCTCAAGAAGCTGCGCCGCCTGATTTTGGTGTCAGCGCTGAGGGCTTAAATGGAAATTTATCCAGGGGCTCCCTGCAAGCAAAACCGTTGGCTCTCTGCAAGCTTCAAACATGCAAGTGTTTGGTTCTTTTGTGGGGGGTTGCTGTTGGCTATCCGGGGAATTACCTATAGTTTTATACACATATATATATATATGTATATGTATGGCACGAAAACAGGGTTGCTCCGAGCTCGTATTGGATCAACCTCCAAGGGTAGAAATGCCACTGCAACCCATGGCATGGTTTGATTGCAGGGTTTTAGGGTCGTTTTCTGTGGCAAGGAAATCCCATCAGTGGATCCCAGTACAAAAGTAAACGGCCATTTTCACTGGGGTTTTGAAATTGCCACCCCCTTGGCTACCTGTAGGGAAATGGACTCACTGGGAGAAAGTGCCCAGTGGTTCCCAGTAAGCTATAGTAGGTAACCCTTCGCCATTGTCCTTCTGGTTGTTGTATTGGCTGGCAAGCCTTGGCTACCTGCAAACCTGGGCGTTTTGCTCTCAATGGAAAATTGTCACATGCATGTTTGTGTGTTTTGATTAAGGAAAATCAAGGTAAATTGATCCAGTGACGTGGCCCATGCCAGGATTGAGCTCTCAGCATGGAGCTCCACGGACTGCCCCTACGAAGGCCGCTACTGCGCCGCTCGGAGCTATGAAGGTTTTTAGTGAAGGGCTGCAGCGCTGCCTGCCTTAAGGCCCTGTGGATGGTTGTGAAATCCAGTTCGCACCACCTAAGAAAACCCCGTTTAAATCCAGAACGGTATTTACGTTGGGGCATCGACTCATTCCGTTGGGTTTCTTAGGTGGTGCGAAATGAATTTCACAACCATCCACAGTATGGGTGGCTCAGAAAGCCATCCATGCCTGAAGGTGCCTTGAACAGCTGTTTGCTCTTTGTCGGCATTTATCCTGCATCCTCATGCCAGCTGGTAGTGGTTTCTCTTGTAATAGTGTTGTCCCACTGCGGATTCCGGATTAGGATTTGAAAAAAATAGCGCATTGAGGGGGAACCAAGGGGAACCCACCCATTCAGGCTTACCCTGTATGGAGACAAGCCCATGGTGTTTTTTTTCCATGTTGCACATCACAACATGTATATACCCTGAGGCTCTCGGGGCGCTTGATACGCAGAACCTGGGGGTCCCCATACCGCCACTTGCCTTCGGGGTCTCCAACCACGTTATCTTGGAGCCCCAATATCCATCAGGAGCCCCAGGGCAGGCCTCCGTCTCGGGCCGAAGGCTTGAGGCACCACATCTTTTTTGGGTTTGGTGGCTTCCCCCCCCAAAAGAATGGCACAGTCATGGCTTTGATCTCCACAGCTTTGCATCCCGCTTCATTGGTGTTTCTGGACCTGGGCGTGGGGTCAAAGAAACAACTTCGTCGGAAAAGCGGCGTTCCCTTGGCGCTTCTCGCAACGGTTCCTGTTTTGAGTGGAAGCTTTGCTGGAGGTCCATAGAAAACCACGTTCTTTTTAAAGGAGCACGCTCTTTGCGAGAAAGTTTTGCCAAAGGCGGAGCCATGTAATTACTTGGCGGTTAGCCATATCTGCTGGCTTTTAGAGAAAGTTTAGGGCGATGTCTTGCAAACCTCATCAATAATTAAACATTACGGAAGGGGTCAAGGAACCACTTGGCAAAATTAGACAGACCACGGTTGTGTCGGCTGCCTCCAATGATGCTTGCAAGCTGTGTGGTCACATGCTTTTGTTCATTCGGAGGTTCACGTGTTCATACACCAGCCTTATTGTCATTGGTCCAGGGGCCCTGTTACTGGAATGTTTGCTGGAATGACATCTAGGCTGACTCAAGACGAGGGACACGGTGCAGATTGCGGAACATGCTTTTTCAGTGTTCGTAAATGAGTTTGTTCAAACTGACGAGTTCTTCGAACAATCTTAGCACACGGCATTTACCCCCTAGAGCACAGAGTGACTGCAGACTGCTAAGGTAGGGGGTAGGTACATGGGTATGTGTCAAACAATAGGAACCCCGAATAAATTAACCCCAGTTTAGTCAAAGGTGACCCTGGTTTTAGTGGGAATTTATCACTTTTGGAGCGAACAACCCACCAATAAACGGGATGAACTTGGCTTTGGCGGGCTTTGGACGTGCGTTTCCTTTCCTCAGTTGACTTGCATTGTCCTACAGGGCCAACTCCCCCACTCTTTCCCAGGATGCTTCTTTCCATGCAACCACCATGACCCAAGGAGAACATGTGGGCTGGTGTTTGATCACGATTGGTCGCCACGAAAGGGTTTCCATCGCTTAAAGTGTAACTCACTGGCTGTCATTGCAACTTTCCGAGGAAGCCACGCCCTCTGAGGTACCTTTCCCGGGCATCAGCCACTCGCCGAGAGCGGAAGCGCTTAGCTGAAGTCAGCTGCAATATTTTCTGGGGTTCCTGGGGGACCCAAACTGGTGTGGGCAAAGCGGAGGCAACAGTGAGTTGATGTTCCCAGGATTTGGGCAAACGTGGACTGGTGGTTTGGATTGATTGGGTTGAATCTGCGGGATGTTGCCACGGGTTGGCTGTTCTTGGGCCATCAAATGTTGAAGCATCGCAACCCTAATGGAGTTGTTTGATTGTTTTGCGGAAAAGGCGAAAGAAGAGGGGCGCTACACAAGGCCCTATGGGATGGAGTTCGGGAACGGCCCAATTTTCCACAACAATATGACGGAAGGTCCTGGAAATAGAAAACTTCTTGCCAATGGTTGCCCTATTTCAGGACGTACTCATTTTTCTTTGCTGGGAAAGATCCTTTTGAGGTCCTTCTCAAAGCCAGTCCTCTTTGCGCGGGAAGGAGGCCCTGACGAACGAACCAAAGGTGCTTTGCGAACTCAACGAGGATCCCTGGCTTGGGGATCCAGGTGTTGGATTTGCAAAAAGTGCAACTGCCAGGGAAGCCACCCCGGCACTTTCTGGAGAAAAGCGTTGCTTTGGTCCAGGGTCGCTCTGCCTGCTTCAAGACCGGAGGCCTTAATTTGCAAGTCATGGGGATGGCCGGCCTAGCTGGAAGTTGCACGTGCCCACCATGAAACCTGTCAGTTGACGAGATGCTACAGGTTGGAATGTTTCGCAGTGGATCAAAGACAAGGCCTAAGAGGTTACAAAGGATCTAGACTCACTTGCTTCCATTGCAACCTATTGCCTAAGTAGGTTGAGCAGGCAACCATTCTCTTCACCCACCCTTCTCTAAAAAGCACTTGTTTTCTCATTTGAGAAGGATGCCTGAATGGGGAAGGTACGGCTGGAAGGGACCTACTCCAATTACCTTTTGTGACACCGTGGGATGGCCAACTACCTGGTCGTAAGGATCCTCAATAAGTTGTTAGAATGATTCCTATTAACCTAGGGCTGTTTGATTAGAGTTGTAAACTTGAACTTTCACTTTGAAACAGACCGGATCTTCCATTGAAATCGTGGTCAAAACTGGGGGCCGAAGGGAATATGGGTCTGTCCTTTTTTGAGGCTAACCTTTTTCGTTGGCTTTGAAGGAACACCACATGGAACACAGAAGCCTCTCTTTTTTTTTTAAAGGGGGGGTACTATCAAATAAATCAAAAGGTAGGGGCCGTCCAAACACCTTGGTGCCCTTTGCTTGGTGTTACTTAGGTCAAAAACCTGAACCTTTGGGAGAAGTTACATGGTCAAAGCTGGGGGCCCGCCAAATGGAATATGTTTTTTGGGGGGGGTCTCTCAAAGGAGACACACCTTTGGCGTCGAATGGAATATTGACCAACCTCCAGTCAGCAAGAATCCCCACGGGGCTGTGGGAACCAGTGGATTTAGCTTCCGCTTCTGTGACCAAGGGCTTGGGGCTCAGACAGTTAAGGGGCCTAAATGGCCGTGGGTCAAAACCAATGCTGCCATTTTGGGCTGGGTGCACCACCCATTTTAGAACCTATTTTAGTGGTTGGATTGGGATGAGCACTGGACATACGGGCTTTGGATTTTGACCCATGGCCAAATCGCACCACCGAAGCACCACGGCAAAAAAAATCCGTGGTTGGTCGGTTTTTTTTTGGGGGTATGGGAACCCACAAATCCCACCATTTCTTAGGTGCGAAGAATGGGGCGGTTGCCCCTGGATGGATCCCAGCCCCGGGAGCGTTCCAAGGCCTAGCGCCGGGCCCGGACTTTCTTTGCCTGCCGCAGCTGGACCCTGCGCTGGCGCAGCAGCTGAGCCAAGCGCCTTTTGGCAGAAAGCCGAAACGGGGGGGGGGAAACGGGGGGGGAAACGGGGGGTTGGGGGGTTGGGTGGTCGGGTGGTTGGGTGGTGGGGAGGTGGGGTGGGGTGGAACGGGGGAAATGGGGGCAAAATATGGTTTAAGCACCACCTTCACAAGAAATCGTCGTCATACCCAGTATTTAAGGATATTAAAACCAATTGGTAGCCCCACCCTATGGCATGGACCTTGGAGGGTTGGGGGGTCTGGGCATGGACACCTTGCTAAAATAATGATTTCCATGTGTCCAATGGTCGGCTACAAGCGCCAGCCACAGCTTTATCCAGTTGGAAATGTTGGTTTGTCTCAAGATTGGAGGACCTCCAGTGGGTTTTCCTTTCAGTTTCTTTTGGGAAACGAAACAACGTGGTTCACCAACAACAGCCCCCCCCCCATTGGGTGGTTCTCTTTTTGAGGAGGCGTTTCAAGTCAGGGCCATGCAAAACAGAGCTTTGTGGTTTGACCACTTGGCCACCTGCAAAACCGGAAGGAGAGAGATGGGCACCTTTGAGGCACTGGGGGTGTAAGAATGCAGTAAAATGACCTGCCTTGGTGGTTTTGATGTGTTGGTTTTATTGAAAGGTTTGATGTGTTGGTGTTGGTTTTGATGTGTTGGTGTTTGATGTGTTGGGTTTGATGTGATTTTCGAGAACCCGCAAAGTGCAAAACCATTCTAAGGGAAGCAAGACAACTTGCCTGTATCGCGGTCACCGCCTGGGGAAACCACTTGCTTGTTCGTCATGGGGAGTGCGAGTCGGTACCTTGGCTGGGGGTCATGGATTCTTCAACGGTTCGACGAGCATTCCCGCGCAAGCTGGCGACCCCATGTCACAAGCGAAATGGTATGGGCGGGGTCGTTTGCTCCAAAGCAGGAAGCACACGCACAAGAGCCCTGCCTACAGGAACTGACCTTCATGGGGGCTGGGGGGGGAGGGAGGGGGGGGAGGGAGCCCCAATACGCCCCAAATAAGGCCTTAATAAGGGCTTATTTGGGCACCCTCCCCCTCCCCTCTCCCCCAGCCCCCATGAAGGTTGATATGGTTCTAAAAAAGCGCGGATTCGGGGTAGCTTCAGCTTCTCAGAGGGTCATTTCCATTTTTAGTTTCTTTGATCCCCTTAATGGACTTGGGGGCTGGAGATCTCCATGGCAACCCATGTTCCCTGGAGGGATGATAGAAAAATGGTTACTTGGGGGACCCCCCACCCAGAAAGGTGTTGAAGAATGATGTGGAGGAAATGTGTGGCCTTTGTAGCAGTGAAAGGTTGAAACAGGTTATGGTAGGGGACATCCCATGGTTGTTGTTGGGAAACATTTTACATTTTTGCTTATTGTGGTTTAGTGGGAAATCCCCACTTAACTGCTAAACTTAGTTTTTTGCTCCCCTTCCAACGTCAACCAAGATCCCGGGCTTCCACTTTGCGCCGGGCCAACCGCAAGCGCCGAGGGTGTCACAGGAGCTCGCGAGCCTGGCGTCCGCCAACGCCACCGCCTTTCTGCTGGCGGATGTGAACGACGCGCCTCGGATCCTCGGGCGGGAGACCCCGCCGGCGCCGGACCGGCTGGTGAGGATCTGAGCGGTGAAAGGTCAGGGGTCAGATGGTTTGGGCGTTCGGTTCTTTTTACTTTTTTCGTGGGAGGGATGGGGCTTTCTTTGGACATCGCACAGGTGGTCCTTTGGAGGGCTGACCAGATTAGTCTTTTGCCAGAGGTAGAATGCGATGGGTTCGGTGGATTGTTCCGGCGCACCCTGCAAATTCCTTTGGTGAAGACCTTGGATCGCCTGGGTGGCCAGCTGGTCAAAGAATCCGCGAGATCACGTCGCCATGGGTCACAACCCCCAGTGAACATCCCAATCCAACCACTAAAAATCGACTAAACTGGGGGGTGCACCTACCCCAAAATGGTACCATTGGTTTTGACCCGCAGCCAAGTGTGTAATCAAGTGGCTTCCTGTGTTTTGGTGGGTACGGAGCATTGGGGATGCCCCCCCCCCATTTTGAAGAGCCGGTGGGTTGGAAGCTTTGGCCGCTTACAGCTTTGTACAAGGGTTTTGTTTCTTCATTTTTTGCCGGGGCTTTTCTTGCCCGTGCAAGGAGTCATTTCGATCCGTCAAACCAATAGCTAAACATAGAACCCAAATACGGGCTCTCCCAAAAAGGGATTTCTCTAAAACTTGTGGGTCGGGTTCCATGTTCATTTTGCGGAAGAAGTGGCAAGCAAAGCCAACTTGGATAGGTCAGCCTGTACTCCTCGGCTGGGTTTGTGGCTCAGGAAAATGGGATCTCTTTTGCGGCCCGAACCAAACATGCAACAGCACTCTGCGCCTGTCCATTCTCGAGAAGACAGCACCCTCCAGCCTAGCACGAGTCAGCACCCTGCAACATTCAACACCCGTAGAAAGTATATTTGTTGGCTAGGTCCCCCAGTAGTGTCCTTTTACACTTTTTCTGGGGAGGGTTTTTATAATAGAATAGAATACAGAAAAATCGGGTACCCTTATTCTAACCTCTCAAATCTGGAGGACCAAATTGGGTTGGTTGGCTTAAGGTCCCTTTATTTACTCAGCATGGATTAGGGAAGTTCATGCCGAGGCCGCTGGAGCCGTTTTCACCAGCCTGGACGTCCTGGGGGTGGTTCTGTTCATCTCCCTCGTCTACGGCCTCCCGTCGGTGAGAAGGGCGAGGGGCGTGGGGTTCAGGTAACTCGTATGGTTGGTGGTTTGGATTGGTGGTTGGAAGGTTTAGATCCAAAGGGAGGAGTTCGGTCCAGTTTGCGAGGCCACTTCTATTTAAGACATTCCACCTTAAAGCTCAAACCAAACAGGCAGAAGGAACCCGTGAAGGTATTTGCCAGCTATCGCCTCACATGGCAAGTCGTGGCGAGACTTGGTTTCGGTCCGGGTGACTTGTTGGACCTTCTTGGAGGGGGTCAACCATCACCTCAGAGGTCCATTGTTGGGTGCCCGAATATAATGAGCCACAATCAAAACCTGGGTAGATGAAGGTTAGTAAGGGATGCTCCTAGCCATAAACAGCTGCGGATATTCGCGTCCTTAATTCTTTACATGGTTCTGGGTAGACCATTTTAATACCGGGTTTTGATTATGACTCAACTGGGCAGCCAAAAAATAGGCGTTCAGGTCACTGACATCCTGCATGGCTCCAGTTGCCACCATCCCTAGGCTTAGCGGCCAGCAGTTGAGCGGTCGAAAGCATTGGTACCAATCTTTGAACAGCTGCTTTTCACTGGGGGAGAAGAGGGCAACGGGCTGATGTGTTCGTTGACACTTCCAAAGGTGATCAGAAGGAAGGTGCAAAAAGCATCAGGGCTGAAGGCTGTTGGCATGACTTCCTCAGTTGTTCAGTGGCACCCTTTTTCTCCTTTGTTTTTGCTTCACTAAAAATGGTCTTCCCCAAAAAGGGTTCCCTTTTTTTCCAAGCTTCATACATGTTGAGAAAGACGTTTTTCAGTGGCAATCGAAAAGGACAGACTTTGTTTGGCCAATCCTTACTCAGGAAGTAAGAACAAATGCATCCGCGTTTTGGGCGGGGAGCCGCCCGGACCTTTTGTCGTGTTTGGGGCTTCTTCGAAGGCAAGACAAAAACAGCCCGCACTCTACCACGAGGAGTTGTCTACATGGCGCTGGTTCGGTTCTGCGCGAAGCCTCTAGTCGCTTGGCTTCTGAAAGCCCGGGGGGGGGGGGCAACAACTTCCGGCTCACCGGAACGAGCTCGTCGATGTTTGATTTCTACATCACTAAAACCCTTTTGTCTTTGCTGCGTTTGAACTAACAGCTTTGGGCGCAGCCGGAGGGTGGATAGATCTGGCAACCCAAACCTGTCAACTGACTGGGGGAACATTTGTTCGTTGCTGAACAGGGTTTTCTTCCAGGGCAAGACTTGTTCGGGCCCGTTGACCCCATGTTTGTACAATCACGAGCTCGGATGTTCTATGTGAATGATAACCTCCTCATTTTGCACAGGAGGTTCCACGGTTGTTTCTTTTTTTACTGGCGGTTCCATGGTTGTGGGCCAAAGTGTACTTTTGGTTTGTGGCTATAGCATTTTGCTCGGTGATTCGCTTCACCCTAGCGGCGCGATGTGAAGAACAAGGTGTGTTGCTAACTTAACAGGGGTTGGATAGATTCTTTTGTGTTTGTGCCTCATGTCCTTCATCGTTTCTGGATTTCCAACCGTCATATGAGAGTTGATGTGCTAAGTAAGCCATAGCCTTGGCTTTCTCCAGTGCAAACCAGGCTGAGAGAAGCGTCTCGAGTGTTCCACGTCAGCACCAGATGATTGCTATGGTTATCATCTTCCTGGCAATGCCATGGACATTCTTTGCCTTCCAGCAATCGTACATCTGCTGCTGTCAATCCCCAATGTTTGTCAATGCCCCTGGTGACTCCTGGGCGACATTCATTGGGGTGTGGCTCAAAATGAAAGAGCTCGGGTTACGCAGGTCTTGGTCCATGTTTCCACTTACCAGGGTTCCATTTTGGGCACCGGCTTTCTGAGCCACAGCCATTTGTACGTATGTATGTGTGGGCCGGATGGTGCTTTTGCCCGGCCTTTTGAGGTTCTCGAGAGTTGCATCCAAGGGGCAACAGGGCAAGCCTGAACCGAACAAAAGATGCTGCTTGAATGTCTGTAGGGGCTACCCCCCCGCAAAAAAAAAAAAAACAGCCTGAACCCCTGAACCTTTTCTGACCAGATCGGAAGGGACGGAAGTTGAGACCTTCGCAAGGCTCGCTTGTGGGAGGGCGGCTGGGCCATGTCTGTTTCGGAGAGGTTGCCGATTAAATGCTACCACCTGGAAAGTTGGGGGGGGGGATCGATTCAGCGGCTTGAAACAGGGTGTATTTTGGTTGAGTAAATGAGCCCAGGGGGGGGGGGGGTTGTCGTTTTGATTCTTAAGATCATGGCTGGACTTGGTCTCAAAGTCCCCCCTCCCACCACCCCACTCTAATGTTTTAGCAGAATTATAGTACCAGGTGTGGCTCTCCATTCTCGTGCTCTTCTTGGTCTTTCTCTGCGCCGGAAGTCTGGCAATCGTCCGTTCCATGCAATGCGCGCAGGCTCGGGTGCGCGCGGGTATGGTTGTCAGCCCAGCTTGCCTCTATGATTATTTCAGTTTGCCTTGAAAGTGCGCCAACATGCAAATATGATTGTTTAGCCTTTGATTGTCGGCCTATTGTTTGAGTTTAGAGACATTTGTAAGGGACCGAACACCCACCAAGTTTGTCCAGGGCACCTCAAAGGAAAACCGTGGGTTGTCGGCACAGTTCAAAACTTGTTTAGCCTGAGGTCCCTGCCTTCCCCGTTTCCATGCTGTGTTTCTACTGAAGCCACCGGTTGCGAAGGATGGTGCTGCCCCCAAAAAACGGCACAACCGTTTAAACCCGGTGTTCACCCTTTCAGTCGGCAAGGGTCAAGCTCCCTAGTCACCACGATGGTGTTCGAATTTGCTTGCTCCCTCGACCAGTCCAAACTTTTGTGGAAACCTCTTGAAGGACCAGTTCAAAACAGTTTAGACCGGTCATCTTATAGGAATTTGAGAACAGCAAGTCGACCGCGTTGTCTGCTGGACTTTGGATAAGGCAGTGCAATTGAGCAAGCCAAGAATGCAGTCCAGTTGTGTCATTTGAGCAGCGTTTAAAGGCCCCACCAGCCATTTTACTAGGGGGGCCTGCTACGGGCTGTATACTCCTGTGTAGCCATGTTGGTAGGAGTAAATCGGTTTTGGGCGCTGCTCATTGTACTTGCTTTTGCTGGTTGCTTGCTTGCCTGACTGGTTGGTTGCTGCGATTCCCCGGGATGTTGTTGATTCCTGGGCACCTCCCGAAAAAATGCGAACCATACAGCGGCTCTTTTCTTATTTGGGCTCAAACCAGTTTAGACCCCAAGTGAAAGGATTTTCAATGGCCAAGTTTTTTGGAAAACGAGCCTTGTGATTTGACATCCCTAGGGCGGGCTTCTTGGTGCCACGGAGCAGACCATGGCCGCCCTGCAGAACATTACAGGACGGGACTGGGGACGGGTGGAGTTGGTGGTTCCCAGCCATCCCCTCAGATGTTTTTTTTTGTCTTTCTTGTTAGGGTTAGTTGGGTTCCCATTTGACCAAACGTTCAGCACGGGATCTGAGGACAGCCCAGTGCCATTCCAAATTTCGAAGTCATGGATCTAGTCATCCCCTTCACTTACCGAGGGAGTTGTGCCATTTGTGTTCACCCCAGTTTAGGCTCTCAATCCCTTTCTCTTCGGGACCCACTGAAAATGGAGTCGAGCAACCACAGGTTTACCGCTGCAAGCCTGAGATCAGAGGGAGGAACTCAAGCTCGGATCTCCCAGAAACACACCTGCTGACTTGGCAAAACTAAAACTTTTTTGTACTTGGCAAACACTAAAGCTTTTTGTGTCTGTAACGGTACTTTGTTTCATCACTTGTTCGTCCCAAAGAGTTCATTTGATGTTTCTGGCCAGTCAAGAGGCAGACAAACAC